CACTTACCTGGTAAGTGAAGTTATATAACTGTATCGAATCAATGATGCCACTTCTGCCCTGCCTGAGTCTCTTTGCAAGCTCAAAAAGATCCACAACTGAGGTCTTGTTTTCCTCGTGGCTGCGTACACCAATGTCTAGAGCTACGAACACTCCAGTAAACCCTTGACCATCGCTATGATAAAAGGCAAAATTATTGTGACTGTTTTCTATAAGGTCATGATCGAGCTACGAAAAGATGGGTGGGGTAGGGGCGAAAAAAAGGAAAGGGGGTCACCCCTATTCGAGACGAAGTTCTAAATATTTTCTTAATGATGGGGTACATGTGGTGAAATTATATTAAAGACAAAGGCATCCCGTGCAGAAGAATTCGCTCCTCACCTGCAGTGGACTACGATAGGGGAATTCCCATCCTCGTACTTTCTTCCTATTTCCCGCGCAGCTACGACGAACCCAACGAACATGGCGATGTTCGGGACGTCTTTTTCTTTCCATGAAGTGTATCTGTAGTGAGATATTTCTCGTGTTGTTGATGGCTTTGTCTGGAGGAAAAAAAAAAAGAGAAGGTAGGCCTTAGCTTTGTACAAATGAATGCGAAAGTAAGTGGTTTGTCTAGCATTTGACAATATCTTGGTTTATATAAGTGATTTCGCACAGAAGTAAGAAAATAATAGCAAAGAAGACGTGGCCTCAAGAATATAGAACTTTCCATTCTTGTAGGAGCGCGTTCCACTTTAAGGCCCATAGCCTTCATGGTAACGCTCTATTAGGTAGCAATCTTGAAGATTTTATTTTAGTTTTCAATCTTGAAGATGCATGCAAGCACGGATTCAGTAGGACTTAGAAAAGAAAAGTCAGACTATACTTTACTGGAGGAAAAGACAGCTATGCAAGACAGTTATGCAAGACAGTTATGCAAACTATTTGAAAAGCATCTTCTAGACACAATATCTGTTTACATACTGATTTCTGCGTGTGTTAACATAAACTTGTTTGTTTACAAAAGTTAGCCACGTTCTGTGTTTGAAATTTTCTGTRGATGAGATAGAGGTCACCTTGTGCACATAGCTACCGTTTTGTTTTTTCCGGCGGGAATTTTCTGGAAGGCAACCAATTCTCTAGTTTCGAGTTCTCTTTGCTCAGCCTTTTAGTATCGGTTGTGTGTYATAATATTCAGCTATATTCAAACAAAACCCGTGACATTTTAATYAACTCGTATTGTTACGTAGTACGTTCATTCCTTACTATACAATGGACCTTAATGAAAGAAAAGAACACATTCGTACACAATCGAGGCTAAGACTGAGCAAACGCGAACTCAACTGGGAGTATTATCCAACCAAATCAGTGTAAAATTGATGCAGGACCAAATTTTTGTTAGAACGAGACAAGATTAATAATAATAATAATAATAATAATA